TGCAGCTCAACCATACACTGGAGCATACTGGTTTGATCCTCCAGCAGCCTCAATATTGAATCCTGGCTCCTCTCATCACGCTGCCGCCACATTTGAGCTTCAGCCCTGTCTTCAGCCCACCACTTACTCTCTTCAGCCTGCCACCTCTCCTCCCGGTCATTTTGTGCTTTCCTGCACTCTGACATTATTTGCCTCCACGTATTCATCTGTGCTCTGTCAGTGTGGGAGGACAGCATGAGCTCAGAGAACATTTCATCACGAGTGTGTTTTTCTTTCTTTCTAATCTTCACTAGCCTCTGGGAAGGAGAAGATCCTGTGATCATTGAAACACATGCAGCTGGTGGAGAAAAAAAAAAGGGACAGCGGTATTTAAAAAGACACATTTTATAAAACAGTGGCTACACTCTTTCAAGGTAAACCTTGCTGTTAACATTACACACATAGCACATGTGCTTTCGTTACAAGGTCGCATTTTGCCTCCCCCCACCGCGTGGCTACCCCCTCAACCCTCCCTTCTCCCAGTGGCTAACAGCAGGGAACATTTCTGTTCAGCCACAGGCAAACAGCCCAGCAGGAACGGGCTCCTCTGAGTGTCCCCTGAAGAAAAGCACCCTATTTCAACCAGGTGACCATGAATGATATCTCACTCTCCTGAGGATAACACAGAGAGATAAAGAACGGATGTTGTTTGAACGCCAGCAAACATGCACTGCAATGCTTTGTTGTACAATGATTCCCGAGTACGTGTTACTGGCCTGGAGTGGTAAAGTGTCCTACCATGAAGGATGCAATAAGGCTGCCCTCCCCAGAAACCTTTTGCAAAGGCTTTGGGAGTACATCCAGGAGAGCCGCGAATGCCAGGGCAAATTAATCCTTTAACATGCTTGCTTTTAAACCATATATAGTATTTTAAAAGGTACACTCACCGGAGGTCCCTTCTCCGCCTGCCGGGTCCAGGAGGCAGCCTTGGGTGGATTAACTACATGGATGGGAGAAGCTCTCCTGTCGGCAGAGTAACGTCTTCGCTAAAGCGGCACAGCTGTGCCACTGCAGAGTTTTACGTGTGGACCTGCCCGTAGTTAGGGCCTGACTTTCCAACCCTTCCTTCATGTGAGTAGTCTCATTTCATTAGGATTAGTTGCATAGGGCAAGACTGCACACATGATAATGGGTTACAGGATTGGGCCCATACTGAGTAAAACCAGCACTCTTTTGGCTGTATAACCAATTTCAGCAGGAATATACCAAGTTCACAGTTTCTTTGGGATTGTTTAATGGTTTAAACATTTTCTTCTGATAAAATCAATTCAGTGTAAATGATGCGTTTTCTCCCGTTTTTTTTCCAGAGATCAAACTACTGGAAAAATTTAACTTTTAAAGTGCATTCCACGGCTGTCTAAATGGGAGCTTTGAATGTGATTTCTACACACTCTATGTCACAGTATTTTAAATAGCTGATCAAAAGAACCTATAATAACCCAGTGAACTCTACCAGCATGTGTACCTTGCTTGTGGAGTAATTGCAGCTTAAACTCAACAGGGAAGAAAATAGGACCAGTCATAAGACTAACCCAGTGTTTGAAGTGAAATTGAGCACTTTGAATGTCTTGGCCTCTTCGTCAATTCAGAAGTGCTACACTCTCCTACAGAGTTCCATCGCGGACACTACAAAAGGAACAAGTTCTATCAAGCGGAGCACAAAGAATAAAGGAAACAAAAGCTTACGTTTCTTCATCTCTATTTATCTTTCACGTTCTGTGAGCCTTGTACTTTTCTGATCTGAAGAAGTCTAATTTTGCATTATTAATGGTAAAAATTGCTTCTCCTTTAAGAGAATCAAAACAAGTGAAATCATAGAGGGGGTGTTGGAGAACGGAGAGGTAGGCAGGCAGCTGCATGCATTACTCCAGTTCATATTGTTAGCAAGAACATTGGCATGGTTTTGCACATAAGCTTTTGAGAACCAGGTTGAAGCACATGCAATTTTTTGCTCCTTTCTGCAATTTTATCTGGAGGATTATGCTCTGAGGGGGGCTGAAAGTAAACTAGTAATGAATCCCCCTTTTACTCTGGGGGGGGGGGGTATTCATAGCTTACAGAGAAGCAGTGTGAGATAAGAGTATAACATTAATGTGTAAGAAAGAGCATTGTGCTGTGTAATGCCTCCTGCAAAGCTCTAGAAGAAATCCCAATCATTAACAGAACTGGAAATAAATGAGAAAACGAAGTAAGATATAATTCTTGAAAAGCCACAAGCAGCAGAGAGAAAACCCATGAAATAACAAAAAGTGACTGACTGGAAGATGCACCAGGTTCAAGATAAGTGATGTCAATGAATGTACACCTACTCATAAGGATGTGAAAACTGCAAGGTATACATGGGCCATTTGGGCCAGTAGAGGAATTTTCTCAATAAGCCATTCTCAAAGTGGGCTGAATTTTTCCAGGTTTTTGTACAAACGTTACGTTTTTAAAATATCACATTCATGGTCATGTAATTTTTCATTATTCAAGCAACACAAGCATACTGTGCATTGTAATGCTGGGGTACAAACGGAATATTGATCCGGGGTATCATCATTTGTTAAGCACATGCCACGCAGCAGAATAAAACAAAGTGACAGGCCCCTGCTTCCATGAGGCTGAAGTCTAATTCAGACAGAATTATATTACCTAACCAGTGAATTCTCAAATTTCTATTTCTTTCATTTATTACTTTGAAAGTACCAGCCACCCCAATAGAGGGTGAAATCCTGGCCCAACTGAAGTCAATGGCAATAGTCACATTGATTTCAAAGAGCCCAGACTCCCTGTCAAATATCTGGGACACTGTACAAAAAAAAATAAAAATTAAGGTGTGGGTGTGGAGAATTAAGCCCAGATGCAGCTAGTCAGCAAGTGCACAAGGAAGAAAGAGTGAAAGAAAAGGGGGCCAATATGTACAAGTGTACCAAATACAACCTTACACTTAGCTCTGGAGACTGCAGCATAGGGACTCTGGCCAACACGGTAAGGGAGGCCTTAGGGGATCCCCCACCCCAATGCAGACCAAACTTCAGGACAATGAGCCAAGACAACTGAAGTGATCCTGGTGTTTTGGACAGACAGGTGGAGAGCAGTCCCTTAGGCACATCTCAGGTCCGTTAGGCAGGTTCAGGGAACATTTCTGTTACTGCCAAGTTAGACTACAATCTTCCAAAAGTCTTGCCAAGTGGACAGTAGCCCCAATGGCCAACAAAATAGCCACACCCCGTAGTCTGAGCAACTCTGGCTACCCAGGGCTGCTGGGACGGCTTCTGCGGCTGTCTGAACTTGTGCCAGAGCTAAACTTTGCTAGCCCTGGAATCTGGGAGCAAAGGTGAGAGCTCTGTTGGACCCAGTGATCTCGCCCATGCACAGAGTGTACACCAGCCTCTACACTCATTGAATGAAAGCAATTATATTTCGGTGAGATTGTGTCTCAGGATGCAATTTACATAGATGAACAATTAATGTGGTTAAATAAACCAGTTAGGGCCATATTCTGTCCTTAGTTGGACGCAGGCATTAACCCCAAAGCAAGTATTACATGAACAAAGGCCGAATATAGACCTGACAGGATTATTGCTTCAGCTACACTGATACTTGACAGGCCATGGACCATTAGGGATTATAAAAGGCCTAGCCGTGGAGGGTCAAACCCCAGCTTCCCCGGTGACCCAGCAGAAGGGACATGACTGTGGCCTTTTCACTCCTGTTAGCGCTGCTCGGGAACAGCTCTGAACAGCAGCAGGGGCATGGGAATGAGCCTGTGGGAGGCAAGGAGAAAAGCCAGCACTGACTGTTTCGTGCAGTGGCGACTGTGAAGAGGTCACACCAAATAGGAGGAGGAAAGGGGAAGCTGGGGGCTTTAGTTAAAAGAAAGTGGACAGTGTAGCTAGTTCAGTTCATTTCCCCAACCAGCTGCCAGTGGTTAGTGAAATGCCTGCCCTGTCTCACAGTCAGGGGGCATTCTGAGGCGCCAGGAGCCCTTTGGACCCATTTCACACCACCTCAGCTAATGGCACATCTACACAGCAGCTGGAAGGTGTAATTTTCTGTGTGCCAGCTGCCCGAGTACATACCTAGGATCTCAGATGGGCTGGTGCTCGGATGGCGAGCCTGAGTCACCATGCTACTCTGGTAAGACTGCTATTTTTAGTGCACCAGCTCGAGCAGAGCTGGCGCATATCTGTCTACTGGAGCTCCAAGTTGCAGTGTAGACATACCCCAATAATTTGTATTTCTGGGCACTCTGGGCCATGTCTACAAGCACTACAGCGGCACAGCTGCCGTGCTGCAGCTATGCCACCATAGCCCTGTGACCCAGACACTTACTAGGGTGGCGGAAAGGGGTCTCTTGAGAAGCTGTCAATTTAGCAGTGTCTACACTGGGGCTTAGGTTGACTTAACTCTTCTCCTCGGGGGGGGGGGGGGGGCAGGGTGTGTGTGAAGTTTTCACAGCCCCGAGTGACATAGATAGGTGTAGACCAGTCCTAAGTAAAAATGAGATGAATGGGAGGGGAAACAGGGCTGCACTACAGAAAAGCCCAGTCAATGGAGGGCTTTGACTCAATGTGATTTTGGCTTAGCTTCTCTCCCCTCAGAAATGTTGCCAAGCACTAAGGGCCCGGATTCCCTTAGCACACGATCTACATGCAGTGCTTCTCTGCACAGAGGTGGCCAGTCTTGATTAAGAGTAACATTGTCAAAAGCAACTTTCAACGGGACTTAAAACTCCCAACTCCCGCTTAGGTGCTTTTGAACATTTTGCACTAAACGACATGTATCATCTGGGGCCCAAAATGGGGAGAAATCAAAGTGACAGATACCAACACAGACATCAGATACCAACCTCTTCTTCTCAGCTGTGCTGATGTGGCCAAAACAGTCTCTTCTGGCCAAAGTCACCAATGAGTTAGTAGAGTTTAACTTATTGCACCACGCGAGGCAGTGAAGGCAAAAAAATATATTTAGTCGGGTTCATACAGCTAAACAGCAGCTATGTTACAGCGACATTGTACATCTCCCAAGAGCATTATGGGATACCTTGCAATAATTCTTCTGCAAGAGAAGAATAAATAATGGCTTTCATTAAAAATATCTTCTCCTGTATTGGGCATGTCAAGCCAGTTAATAGTGTTAGGGGTCCAGATTCAGGAAAAGGAGGAATCTAAAGATATTCCAAAGAACAGGCATCCCACCTGGAGATTCTGGTCTTCTATTCCCACCCCCACCCCCCAAGTTTTTTAGCCAAAGACCCTGCAGTTTCACCCCAAGTCTCACTGCAGCATTGTTAATGTCTGCAAAGCCCGTGTCAATAGCAAGATGAGCAGAGAGTGAACAGGCACATGGGCCCTGCTGGTTTCTGTGTGGAGGTGACTGGATCGCCCATGTCCCCGTGGCTGAGGTTCTACTGTAATGTAGCCATTAATGATGCGAATCCGGGGAGGTGGGTCAGTGGTACTGCAAGGCAAACAGAGAATAATCTTGGTCAGCAGTTAGTCACAAGGGTCAATGATCACCACGAACCAGGAGTCATATTGTCACAGAAATGCCCACAGGAGGGTCCAAGACCAACTTGTGGAGCTGTCTGCAGATCTTGTGTGTTCCTGAATGAGGCTGTGAGTTTGGTCTCCCTGCCCCATGGATCCACAAGGAAAGGGAGCCCTTCACTCTCCCCACTCTGAACCTCCCTAGCCCCACTGACATCAGACTCCTTGATGACTCATGCTGCTAACGGCAGGGCACTGCACACCTGCCCCTCTCAGAGGAGGACAGAGCCAGATAATGCTCCTATCAGATCCCCACTGGCAAAGGAGAGGAGAATGCCATGGACAATACCTCATCCCCATCTCACACCACAATTCCCGAAGGGCCCCAACCCAGCTGAGCATCAATATAAGGACTTGGCAAGAGAGACTCTCTGGTGGATGGGGGTGTTCAATGTGGTGGAGCTGGTTATTCCTGTCCCTGAGCTGGGATCTACCTGATTAGACTTCCTTCACTCACAGAAGGGACAGTAGATCCCAAGGAAGCAGAGAGGTATTAGCAACATTCCTGAGCCCCTGCAGCCAGCCTTTCGGCTGATCAGCAACCTTAGCAGATAAACAAATCTAGCCTTGCAGCAGAGAAGGCTCTGCCGACCAGCATTCTCACCACATGGCACCAATTTATAGGGTTGATGCATCTGCTTTCAACAGCTGAGCCTGAACCCCGTCCAGGTTCTCCCCAGTTTGCACGTGCATGTTAGCATGAATCAAGCCTCTCTGCAGCCTCCATATAAATGATGCTCCATGTGAAAGGGCATCACTGGCAGGTGGAGAAAGCATATAGACCATATATGGGACAGTGGGAGTGAGGAAAATCCAGGCATCTATTAGAAATGCTTCTCAGTCTAGAGACTGAGAAGCAAAGGTCCACGTGAAAAGCCCGTCCCAAACAGGAGTGTGAGCAGAGGGCACTGCTCTCTGGATAACAGGTTGGAGCCAGATTTGACCCTGAGGCTATAGGCAGACACAGCTCAAATCCCCAGGCCCAGCATTGTTAGGTGGAAACTAAGATAAATTCCAGCAAAATTCCAGCAAGCACACCTGCCCAACTGTACAAACATATCCATTTCACTTGCATCAGCGCGCTCCAGCTGCTGTGCACTATTCCTGCTTTACGTTGGCTGAGTGCATTAAGCAAAAATGCTTGGGGAATTTGAAGGCAATTAGTCTGCTTTTTGAAAACACTTACCACTCCATATCCAACAGCCCCGCAGGCGGCTCCTACAGTAACTGGACAGAACCCAGCTGGCAGTGCAACAAAGCAGAGAGCAGATACATACAGGAGCACAGACCAGAGCAATTCAGGCCAAACCCGCTACAAGACTGTATGAAATCACTTGAGTTAGGCCTTTCATGGTTACCTGCTCACAGGAGTTACTTTACGAATGGACCAGACCCAAGCACAAGAGATTTACCCACTGAGAGATGGATATGTAGGAGTAAGGGCTGTGGCTTCAGAGATGGACTGAGTATTTATGTCTGAAGGGTTCCTGTGAATGACTGAATTTCATCAGTGACGTGAAACAGCGCCACTAGGTGGGGCAGTTAGCACAACAGAAGCATGCAAAGAAGTTTGCATGTGTTTGTTTGCTCTTTTTTTTCTTAAAACAAGGCAGCAATTTCAGGAACTGCCCATCACCTAGAGGTAACGTAGGATATCTAGGGCGTAAAGTTAGTATTGATTTTCCACACATTCAAAGACAGTGCAGAGACCCCTGCAATGGAAAGAATCTAATCTGAAGCGCAGTGATGGGCAGTTAAGTGACAGTATGCGGCAGATACAGTGGCGTCCTATAGTTCTCCCTAGCTGGAAGGCACCGGGCAGACAATTAAGAAGAAATAAACATCACTCCGCTTGTTTTCCCCCAGTATAGAAGCTGTTTGGGAGGCTCGTCCTCTAGCCATTTACTCCTTCTGCTGCTAGGGTCACTACTAAAAATCAGACTTTGTTTCTGGTTCAAGTGATGCATTTCATGGGTGGAAAGAAAACTGCAAAGAAAGAAAGTAAGAAAGAGAGATCTGGTCTCTGCCGCTCCCAAGGCCCTAAAGGCACATATACCTGGAGTCAGGAGGGGGTTGCTGACAGTAGCCACCAACAAAACTTTATCAGCTTTGTGCTCCCTGGAGGTCTGACTAGAGCATTCCTGAAGTGGAAACTGGAGAAACAGCCCTTACTCCTAGTTATGCTCAGCTGACACTTCTTCCCATCTCACCTACCCCTTGCTGTAAAAATGACCCTCAGCTAAGACTCTGATACCGCAAACACACAGGAGTAGGCTTTAGCACATTAGTAGTCCCATTGACTTCACCAGGAATATTGCATGCATAAAGTTAAACATGTGTGGGTATAAGAAGGATCAGGGCCTAAACTGGTAAAGGCTCTGGGTTATCCTTTAGGATTGTCTGCTGAAGGTCAAGCTAATACCAGCTATAACAATAAAAACCACAAACTATAACTAACATCAACTTTATTAACTTCAGTAAACGAAAATTATAGCAACCTATGCAACCATATTTAATATATAGTATAATGATCATCTCTGCATTTAAACTCAGACAAGAACAGCCATTGCAGCTTTCCCCCGACCTGTCCCCATAATATATCATTCAGAAGAATCAAAAAGCAATGATATATTGATATAATGTATCAAAGCAGTGCAGGTGCTCTCAAGCGCTCTCTACCTTGAGGCTGATGAAAAATAATGATTTAGGAAGTCCCACTGAATTGAGAAACTTGTTTAAAATTCGTAGGGGCCAATTTCCATTGCCCTGCCCCTTCAGCAGTCATTTAAACTGCACACAGTGGGAGTGAAACGCTCCCAGTCTGAATGAGCACATTTCACAGCGGTAAATGTTGGCACAAGGTGATGAAGAATCAGACCTGCATTTTATCAGATGGGAAGGAAATAAGTAAATCTACAGATGCACATTCAGCAGTGGGTCAGTGGCAAATGGAAGGTGCTTGACGAACGACACACAGTTCAAAAGGCGGCTATGGTTCTTGTGGTTATATCTGTCCTAGGAGAGTCAGTTCTCTTGGTTGGGAAAACCACCTTATTTTTGATACTAAACCAATTATGCAGACAGAACCAATTGCATTGTTAATGGTGTGTTAGGGCACCTAGAAATATGAATTTTTATTATTATTTAAATCTAAATGCATAAATAAGAATTGCAGGAGATAAGAGACCAAATTCTGCTCTTTGGATTTGCACCAGAGGAAGTGAATAGAGTTTAAAACACAGGGTTTGTGGCATGTTAATAAGCCTTGATTAACAGCCAATCTTAGTGTAGCGGAGCGCCTCCCTCCCCCGCCAGTTGGTACCTTTCTTCAATGCGAACCCAGAGGTCGTTAAACTGGCGCAGCCTTTGCTTCTTCTGTTGCTTCTTCTTCTTCTTCTTCTTGTATTTCCTGTCCACTTTCTCCAGCAGGTCGACACGCTCGGGCAGCAGCAGGTGGGGCAGAAGCTCCTCTTCCTCTTTCTGAGGATGCGGCGGGCGGTGCAGCTCCTGGGCAATCACATAGGGGGTGTACGCCGGTGAGGATGATGAGAAGGTTGACCAGGTTTTTTGATTCTTCCCACTGGGGGGAAAGGAAACCAGAATGTTTGGAACGCCCTTGAGTGGGGTCTTGGTCCAGCCCCATGGCAACTGAGATGCTATGCAGCCTCCTGATCCCCTACGTCAACAAATATTTCCCCCTGGAAGTTCTGCTGGTTTAAATCTTATCATCTACCCATCCTCTGTTCCCATCCCCCCCGCCCCATGTCACACCTCGGGTCAAGCAGAGTCTTTTCAGTTCAGAGGGCCTAAGGAAAGAGTGCTTCCGGCACCGACCAATGCACAGGCTGAGCTCAGGAGGAAAAAATCATTCAAGGATAACATAATGCACTTAGCTGACTACATTACCAAAACACTGCTGCTGAGAGGCACTGAGTGCCTGCTGAAGTCAGACTGGCAGATACGCACCATTTCTCAGAATCAGGCCAAAAAATGATAGATTCTAAGGCCAGAAAAGACCATGATGCTCATCTGATCTGACCTCCTCCATAGCATGGCTCAGAGAATTTCACCCTGTTATTCCTGCATCCGGCCCAGCTTGAGGTGGAATGATCGGTTAGAAAGGCAGCCAGTCTGGGGGCAGGTTGGCACTTAAAACACTGCAGCGGTGCAGCTGCACTGCTGTAGTGCTTAAGTGAAAACGCTCCTACACCGACAGGAGAGTTTCTACCCTTGGCGTAGTTAATCCACCTCCTCAAGAGGAGGGAGCTCAGTCTCCCATCAACGCAGCACTGTTTACGAATGGGGTTAGGTTGGTGTAATCGCATTGGTCGGGGTGTGGATTTTTCACACCCTGAGCTATGCAGTTATACCGATATCAGTCCGTCGTGTAGACCTGGCCTAGGTTTAAAGGCTCCAAAGGATGGACAATTTACCACATCCCTTGGGGTAAGCGGAATTATCCTCACCGTTACAAATCTGCATCTTGTAAACAAGCGATCTAGTGATGAAATGCTCTATATGTCATTAGCAATCCCTGGAGCCATGCAGGACCTCAGAGATGGGACAAACAGAAGAAGAGAATGCATTTGAGATGGTCTATAACTGGCCTTTTAATGAAGAGCTTGATACAGCTTCTGATAGAACCTTAGTTACAGGGTTAATTCACACTCATGGCCATGCTGCTGTTTCTACTGGGGAATCTAAACACCAGTTAGGGTGACTAGATGTCCCGATTTTATAGGGACAGTCCCAATTTTTGGGTCTTTTTCTTATATAGGCTCCTATTACCCCCCACCCCCGTCCCGATTTTTCACACTTGCTGGCTGGTCACCCTAACACCAGTTCTGAAGTACTCACTGGCACCTAGGAAAGATAGTCCAATGGTCAGGGCACAGGCTTAACAGCTGGAAGACCAGCATGCAGTTCCCTGCTCTCCCACAGACTTCCGGGTGACCTTGGCAAGTCACTCAGTCTCTCATTGCTCTGTTCCCCACCTGTCAAAAGAGATAACTGTCCTGCCCTACCTCACAGGTGCATGCTGATGAGAAACACATAGAAGCCTGTGAGATGTTCAGGTACTACAGTAAGGGACCCCTATGGGATGGAGAGTTTTAATGGGAGATGTGTGTCAGGTCAGCCTGCCACTTGGTGGCAGCAGATCCCATGGATTCAGGGGGGATCTAGGCCAACCCTAGTGGTTGGTGACATCATTTTGAAGGCCCCTAGGATAACAAAGCTGAAGCATGCTGCAGAGAGGAGACACTTGCAGGTAGGCCAAGTGCTGGGGCAAGGAAGGTTCTTTCCCCCTCAAGGCTGGCTCTGGGGAGCACAGGAACCACTGCCTCCTCCAAAAAGCAGCTGGGGGAGAAATGGGGCTCTGGGCCTGCTGCTCCTCCTCTAACCCTGGCTGCCATAGGCGGTGGGTGTAAAAGGCCTGCCCTGGTGTACTGCAGCTGCTGGACACTGGTTGTGCAGTTTGCACGGGAAGTTTTGCTTATTATTATGCACCATGCAGGTTCCAGGGCAGCTGAGGAGGCAGTATGTGCTACTCAGCTTCTCAGGTTCACCAGTAACCTCCCTGGACCCAGGTTCTTCGAGAAGAGACAAGCTTTTCCCATGGGGCGGCTTGGGGTCTCAGGAGGGGAGGCACGGCAAGGCTGGGGTGGCTTCTGCCGGCCCAGGGGTCTTCTGGGTGGGGGGAGGGGGCAGGATTCCTCCAGCCGCAAGGGGGCGAGGGGTTCAGGTCACAGTGGGGTGACCTCGGGCAGAATTGGTGGGGCCGGGGGGCTAGCCTCTTCAAAGGGGGTCTCCATGCTGGCGGCGGGGTAGGAGCTAGTACAACCAGGGAAGCAATCTGCCTCATCTCAAGCAGACACTATCTGCCTGGTGCCCCTTTTGGGGCACTGCAGCTCTGCATCATGCCTGATACAGGGAAGTAGCTTTAAAGCTACAACCCAATCCTTGATGTCTGTAAGAAAGAGTATTTTCCCTCAAGTGGAGCCCAACCAAATTCCTCTTAAGCACCTGGATGATCTATCTTATTAACGGCATTCCATTCAAAGCTGGAGCACAACCTGAATACCTGAGTGATCTGGAGGTTAACTTATAGCATGAGGAGAAGCAGCAGACAGGCTGGACACGGTCTTTGGCTGAAATTACTCAAGATAGTTAAAGTCCAAAGCAGACTGCGAAGAGTTACAAAACTGGGTGACTGAGCAAGAAAATGGCAGATGAAATTCAATATTTATAAAAAGAAAAGGAGGACTTATGGCACCTTAGAGACTAACCAATTTATTTGAGCATAAGCTTTTGTGAGCTACAGCTTACTTCACCGATGAAGTGAGCTGTAGCTCATGAAAGCTTATGCTCAAACAAACTGGTTAGTCTCTAAGGTGCCACAAGTCCTCCTTTTCTTTTTGCAAATAAAGACTAACACGGCTGTTACTCTGAAACCAATATTTATAAATGCACAGTAATGCATATTGGAAAACATAATCCCAAGTATACATATAAAATGATAGGGTTTACACTGTTACCGCTCAAGAAAGAGATCTTGGAGTCATCATGGATAGTTCTCTGAAAACATCCACTCAATGTGCAGCAGCAGCCAAAAAAAGCTAACAGAATGTTGAGAACCATTAGGAAAGGGATAGATAATAAGACAGATAATATAATGCCACTATATAAATCTATGGTATGCCCACACCTTGAATATTGCATGCAGTTTTGGTTGCTTCATCTCAAAAAAGATATATTGGAACTGGAAAAAGTAGAAAGAATAGCAACAAAAATTATTAGGATCTGTAACAGGAGGAGAGATTAAAAAGACTGGCACTGTTCATCTTGGAAAAGAGACAACTGAAGGAGGATATGATAGAGATCAATAAAACCATGAATGGTGTGGAGAAAGTGAATAAGGAAGTGTTATTTACCCCTTCACACAACACATGAATCAGAGGTCACACAATGAAAGTAACAGGCAGCAGGTTTAAAGCAAATATAAGAATGTACTTCATCGCACAGTCAACCTGTGGAATTCATTTCCAGAGGATGCTCTGAAGGCCAAAACAGTAACTGGGTTCAAAAAAGAACTAGATGAGTTCATGGAGGATCAGTCCATCAATGGCTATTAGCCAGGACAGTCAGGAATGCAATCCCATGCTTTGGCTGTTCCTAAACCTCTGACTGCTAGAAGCTGAAACTAGAGGAGAAGGGATGGATCACTCGATAATTGCCCTGTTCTGTTCACTCCCTCTGAAACATCTGGCAATGGCCACTGTCAAAAGACAGGATACTGGGCTAGAAGGACCATTGGTCTGACCCAGGATAGCTGTTCTTGTGTTCTTAAATATAAAAGGAAGAAAGTGAGCAAAAAAATGTTGCTTTCACCAGCTGTACCCTGGGAGTACCATGAGTGTTTCCCTTCTCCTGCTGCAACGGCAGTCAGGCTCCCAGAGAGGAGATGGGCTGATTTCAGTGAGAGTTTGGAGTTTCCAGACTGGTCTGGTCACTGAACCTGAACTCTGTGATGGAATTTAAAACAAGTTTCAATCAAACAGATCAAAGGCGAGAGGATGTGGAATGGAATGTGAGTCCCCATTGGAAGGGGAGAATGAAATTAGGAGTGAATTTACAGTCATTTCCCTAAGAAAACTGAGAACTGAACCCTGAGCCAAGATGACTGAGAGGACAGAGGCAGTGCCAAGAAATGAGACCGTTTGGGACCGTGAAGCAGAAGGCACTCTGAAGAACGAGCTCAGATAGAGACATTTAATACAGGGCTGGGTTTGGAATGCAAACAGATTCTGAGCTATTCTTCCCTTTTCAAGCACTACAGTGCCCTGGTTCCCTCCACTCCAGTCTTGCCTGCCCTTTTCTCAGCTTCTTATAGCATCACCTCTGTGTCCTGGGTATGGTACAAACTTGCTGAGCTCTTCCACTTTTAATTCCCCCTTACAGACCCACTGCTACTGTGCTGCCTTCAGCAACCTGAGTGGACCTGTGTAGAAACCCCTGTTTACTGTTGTCCTTCCCCCAACCTCTGTCATTCCATCTGTCCTGAAACTGTGAGCAAGGAGCGCCCCTTTGTGAGGGTTTAAAAAGCCCCTAGTGTTTCATGGGCACTGCCACAAACACATCACAATGAGATTTAGGAATCCAATCCCTTGGTGAGTGTAGGAAGTGCCTGTTCAAATAGCACAGGGCACCTGTTTTATTCTTTGTGCACACACATCATCCTCGCATTTTTAGAGTGACCTGGTTAATAGAGGTGCGGATCTCAGGGCATTTGATACTTTCTGCAGTAAATCTGTAGGCGAGCCTTTGAATGGCAGCAGGTCCCACACCCAGAGGGACCCAGGGATAGTCAGAGGCATGGAGACATGGCGCATTCCCCTCCCCTCGTGCCAGGTCACCCCGGCAGAACTCTCCTTGAGCACAGCAGCTGCAGAGGGGAGCGGGAGTCGCAATCATTAAGGCTGTGATTGTATGATGAATATTTTATGAAATACATATTCAGCCTAAAATCAGGAATAACATTTAAAAGCCCAAAATAGACACACCGGGAGCTTAATTCAATTC